TCAATTGTCGGGAGCTCAATTGTCGGGAGCTCAACTGTCGGGAGGCTCAACTGTCGGGGGCTCAATTGTCGGGGCTCAACTGTCGGGGCTCAATTGTCGGGAGCTCAACTGTCGTGTCACCGTTTCGAAGAAATTGCTTTTTTTCAACAAGAATAGAAATTAACAGTGTCTCAAAAAATGAAATAAAAATTATAAATTTTTAGGAAAAACTTATTGAATCAGTTATTTAATATATTATTATTAGCTCAACAAATCTGTAAAGAAGATAATAACGAAATATATCAGTATCTTATAGAACATTGAATATACTTCAGAACTGTATAACATAAAAAACTTTCATCGGATAATCCAACAGCAATATAAAAAATATCATTTTTTGATATACATTCGCCTATTTAATTATGCTAATTTTGTCATTGACTTTGATGAATAGAATTTAATGAGCTATATCAAACGGTCTGCTATTTATTTTGGCACGCGAAATTCGTGAACAAAAAATACCACAAAAATAGTGACTCTTCGTACTCTACTCATGTCATAAAGGTGCATATTCGTCTGATTACGCTTTCATAATGCCAATACAGGACGATCGGTTCGAATGAAAATCTATGAAGTTGCATTAAAAATGAAGAATTCGAATACTATTTAGAACAATATGAATTTAATGCACATAATTCTTAATATTTGTTTTAATGTCGAATAAAATACATAAATCTGAAGTTAGCATCAAAGTGTGCCTAACGACAGCGTGGATGATTTGTTCGAACAATCATACGTGGAGTGTCACATGAAAAATTCTCGACTCAGAAGAGATGCATTACTAGATTGAAAATGCTGAATATATTCATATTCTAATGATTGGTAATAACAGAGCAGGGCTACTCATACTTTGTCTTTGATCGTAACAATTATATGCATTTAATTTCAAGCCACATAGTTTTACATGCTTACCACTAAGTGATCAGCTGGATGAACCATAATTAACTGTCCATTTACTATATGTGGTAGTCCATGCACCTGAGAAATCTTTGCCTAAGACGATATGATAAGAAGGTGGAGGTAGGATGATTTCCCCACTTTTAGATTTTTATTGAGGCTTGTATAAGCAGAACCAAAAATAAACCCATGAGTAATGTTACCGTTTACAACAAGACTCAAAATATAGATTTATGGGGTGAGATCAAGTTTGATCCTTGAGTTGTTAGGATTTCTAATTCTTCATCTTTCATCATGAATTCACCGAGAGCTATGGATATCAGAAAGAAAACCAACGGGGTAACACTCGTTCAAAATTCTGACGAAAATAATTAATGCTATCATATTAGTACAAGTATATTTATCCACGTAAGAAATAGTTGACTAAATATTTTTTTTTTTTGAAGTACAAACATCTGATTTGAAAACACAAATAAATAAAGATGTAAGAAGCAAATTATTTATCATCTTATTTTCTACCTCTTTACATATTATTATTATTATTACTTATATCATCGACTAGAAAAACAATTCATCGAAAATAAAAACTAAAGAACCATTCAATAAAACCTTTTTGTTAGTAAATAAAAGAAAATAAATAAGAATTATATTATTCTTTTCCTTTTTCAAAACTAAAATTTAATTATCATGATTAATAAAATAAAAAAAGTCAAATAATTAACTGATATTTAATTTTTGTCTATATATAAGCTACATGAAGTTGAGTAAATACCATTTATTGTTGAATTTATCCAATATTCATAGGCAGCTACACGAGTATAAACACCAGAGTATTCTGCTTGTCCACATCCAATACCATTACTTGTTATACCAACTAATACCCATTGTTTATTTGAAGTAAACATCATGAAAGGACCACCTGAATCTCCATAACATGCATTTATAAACATAGACATGTAATAATAATTAAATAATGTAAAGCAAGCAATTTCATAATAATATTAACCTTTGTTACCATTAGGAACACCAGCACATAATTGAACTTGCCAATCATGTAATAAATTATTACAAGTCGATGCTCGGCGATCAATAATTTCTAAAGAAACTTGCTGAAGATTTGTTGGTGATGAACCAATCCCATTCAAAGTACCCCATCCGACCGCTACGACCTAATAGACATAACTCAAATAAATATTTCATACAGAAAAGAATAATTTACTTACTGTAGTGTTCGCCGGTGGCCATTCTTCTGTCATTAATACTGTTGAATTAACAAAATTTAAACATATAGTACTCAAATTAGGATCATTCATCGTCAGTGGAGAAGTAAGACGAAGTAAAGCAATATCATTAACATAACCGACTGAACTATAATTTGGATGTATATGAACATTCAATACCACCCGACTTTCACTTCCAACCCATCGAAAATTTGAACCGGCATAGATTGTAATTTCAGATGCTATAGCATCTTTTACACAGTGTGCTGCGGTAATTATCCATGAGCTCGACAAAATCGATCCGCCACATAAATATCTATCAGCAATGGATATGGATACAGTCCAACCCCATGTCGCTGTACCGGCTGACTCTCCGCCAACAATTTTAGTTAACATTACTGAATTCTTTGAACATCCACATGAATCACTTGTATTGCATGAATAGACAGTTTGATAACTTGATTTAATATTACTATAGAAGATAATTATTGAGAGTAGTATGATACCATTATATCGTGAATTTTTCATCGCTTCAATTGATCTGATCGAGATTAAAACAACGTAAATTTTTATATGAGCATATTTCGACTTATTTCCTTTGCTTACGCTTGCATGATTTTTTTGTTTTCGTCTACTATTGAAATTTCTCAAAAGCAGTCATCACATTTTGTAAACATCAAAGTTACGTTCTAACATGTTGTCGTTACTTAGAAATTGAAGTATTCGAATCACAGAATGAATCATGTGTGAAAGTAACTTGTTTCTATAAGAAAAAAATGTGCTTAAAAATTGACGAAGAGAAAGAAAAAAAATGACTGGCAATACCACAATCGTTCTCTAGTGATACAAAGAAAAATAAAGTTTTCTTTACTTTATTTTTTTACACGAAAAGAAAAAGCTGATAAACATATATTTGTAAAAACTCTTCAATATGTTAAATATAAACATTGTAATTGCGAATCAGAAAAAAAAGTATTGACGCATCTGAACAGTAAATACTGTGATTTTGTTTTCTTTTAGAAGATTTGATTTGTTTTGCGAATTGTACATGCAGCAAGGAAGTGGCACATTTTCTATGAAAATTTGCGAACAAAAAAGTTAAGGAAAAGTAGAATGAAAATCTTAATCAGAAATATGTTGCAATGAAATCTTGAGTTTCCGATGTATTTTTGACTAAGAGTAGATATGCCATTTTCTTTAGTCATATTTTGCCAATTCTTGATTACCATACAGACGTTTTCTCTTCAGAATTTCGAACCATAATAAAACAGCAATGATCAGCTATTTTCACATAAATAAACGAGTGTGAAAAACAAAAGAGATAATATGATGTTTTATGTGCTTTGCAAGATAGTATTAATGCAAACATATTAAGCAACAATCATGCTAAATGACAAAAATGTAAACAATGTTATCAGTCATTTGCATTTTTCTCGTGATAATTCGTCTCGGTGGATAAGTTATACAAGAAAGTTGGCAAGCAACACACAATTTGAATAATCTCTATTTCATTGCATGATTAAATTTGATCCATGCTGAACTGTAAACGAGTAAAAAAATAAAATAGTCAGTATGCCGTTTAGAGAAAAAACTAGTACTGTTCATAAGATCGGTAATAACTCATTTAAATAAATAAGTCAATCATGAAACATCCATCCATTGATACAGTTTGGTATTTTTCATCAAATGGTGTATAATGCATGTGAATAAAAATGTTTTCGCAAATTGCAGAGGTCTATAAAACCCTTAAAAACAGAAGTTTACACTGAATTATTATATATGATCATGCACCTGTATTCATACAACCACTGATCAAGAAATACATAATATTATTGAGTTGCGTATGACTTAATCACTGAGGCGAGTTATCATAGGAAACACTCTAATTGATTTCTATAACTTGTCTTATATATCAGAAATGTTCATCGCGGCTGAAAACTTTTTGTAGTCGCTATGGTATTCAAAACAAAATGTTTCGAAAACTACTGACATCACTGTTCTCACTAATAGATGATATCGGTTTAATCTTTGGATTTTACATGTGTGGATAATGAAGTTCTGCATTAATTCATACAGTTTTACAATGTTGTTATCGTTATGAATATTTTTGCTCTATGTGATAAAAGAGAATGCTCTGAAGTAATATACACGTTTTTTTCCTTTTCAAAATTTCTTAAGTGAATGTAACAAAAAGATTGAAATCACTTTTTTCGAACATAGGTGACATCTAAGCATCAAAATTAAGATAAAAATAAAAATATTTTTTCTATTCGTTTTCTCTTTACTAAATATGTAGGAGTAGGTTGGTAGTTTTTATTCATTTTGAGTTTATTCAAAACGTAGAATACAAAACAACGAGATCCCATAAATATCATCGCACTTACTTAAAGGTAAGAAAAAACAAAGGTATGAATAAGACAATGAACTTTAGGATTATGAAAAAAGAGTTGATCTTGTTTCTCCAGATTTAAATATAACGTTTAACTTTAGTCTAGTGTATATATAGTTATTCAATGTTTCTCAACTATTAATAGTGTCTTCATATTTAAAAACTCGAAAAGAAATTGATAATAACAGATTTCTTTTATTTTACAATAGAATTGATAACATATGTAAAGTATGACGCATTCAGTATCTACAAACAGATAAGGATTTCTTTTACATGCGCAGAACAAAATACACAATGTACTTGTTTCATCGTGAAGAAAAAAACCATAAAATAAAAAAAGTACGCTGCTTGTGACGAACGGAACGGTATTTTTTTTGTAATTATTTATGATATATAAGATTTCAGGAAAAAAAATAAGGATTTCTTTTTTCAACATTATATATTCGAAAAGTCCAATCAGAACTCTCTATGGGATCACTTTTTTTTCTGTGTAAAGTAAATGATGTTTCAGAAATTCCTACATAGCAAAACAACAGAGAGATAAATCTATAGAATATTAACAGAAAATGTTCACATGGTGTTTCCTTCAGGATCTTTACCTGTCTAAACAACCGAAAAAGCTCAGAAATAATTATCTTCTACTCTATTCTACTGTAAAGTCAGAACACATCCGAATATCTCATAGAGTTCTTATATTATCCATATAAATTTTTTCTGTTTAGTTCCAAAAAGAGTGACACTTTTAAAATTTGTGGACAAAACATCGTTCTTATTCATATTTATTTTTTATTAACCTTACATACATAGTTCAATAGAGAAATCAAACGTTAGGGTTGTTTGAAAACTAAAAAATAGACAAATGGTAGAACCATCTCAGAGATGAGATGCATCATAAGTTCAAACTTCATTATTATGGAGGAAAATTGCTCGAACAATAAAGTTCGATCACATATATGTTTAATGATGTCTCGAAACTAGAAACTTGACTCAGAAACAGTTATGAATAATCAGATTTCATTCGACTTATTCAGATCATAAATTTATCTTGTGCTAATTCGAGTTGGGCACCAGCCAAAAATACTTATACTAAAAGCTAGCAGACTTTGTACACTCAACATCTAATTGTGTGTTTATTTGATTAACAATCAGCCAGAGTCATTCTTCATACGAAATTAAAGTATTGATATTATACGTATATTAATCGATAATGTTTCACTTATATTTAATAGCCTAATCAGTTCGAAAGAACATAATACAAGTGTATTCATAGTAAATTTCGAGAAAATCATGTTTTTACATTGTCATATTTCAAGTACGAACATGAAAGTCTTTTGAAATATTTTCAATGTGTATTAATATAAGACAACAATCTATGTAGAAACAAACCTATTAAAAATACATTGATACAAACATAATAGTTCCAGTTTTCAAGTAAAACATTTAACATGACACATCACTTTTATTCTTGCAAATACTTACATTTGATAAACATAAAGAATATAAATCTGACGAGGAATACTGCATGAAAATTTGACATTTAAAAATTTTTCATCTCATCGTTTCATTATTTCATCCATTTTAGATTAAAAGCTTTCATCCAACATTTACCTATTAGTGATTCATTGATATGGCAACTAGTAAAAGTGTTACAATCGAAGATTTGATTATCTGTGCAATTTGTCATGAGCCTTTCAAAGATCCACGTCTTTTACCTTGTTCGCATACTTATTGTCGGGAATGCATTGAACGTATCGCTTCTACGAATAACGATCAGTTCGAATGTCCACTACGGGATGAATTCGTTACATTGAAAACAGAGGTCGGCTCATTACCACTTAATCGAGGAATACGCGATTTAGTAGAATTATACGGTAAACGGAAATAGTTTATCATGCTATGAAAAACAATATTTTTCTAATCATATTAATCTTTCAGCTTCAATTCAAGAATTAAATCGATGTACTAACTGTCACTTGGTCAAGCCTGAATATGCATGTGACAAATGTGAAAACGAAAGATTTTGTTCAGCATGTTATGAAACTGTGCATACCCCTCCAGTTATGCAAAAACATCAACGCCTTTCAAATAATTTATTACTGGAAACCATTCCATGTAAAACACATTCGAAAAAGCCACTGGAATATTGGTGTTCCCAATGCTCGAAACTTATATGTATTTATTGTCTTTTATTTCAACATAAAGATCACAATTATGTTTTGTTAGATGATGTTATACAAGGATTCAAAACCAAGGTCAGCATAAGTTCTATATAATATAAGAGAGTATTGTATTGTAATTCTTTGATGATGTAGATAAATACTGATTTTCAAAGTATTCAATCGTCTTTAAACTATAAAATCAATCATGCAGAAATGTTAATAAATGTTATTGATAATAATAGTAAATCTGATCGACAAAGGATGACTGAAAGTATGGCAGAGATACGTCAAATTATTGATGAACATGAGAAAAAAATGTTACAAAACATTTCGAAAACTGAAGAAGAACAGAAAAAAAGACTTGAAGATTATAAAAGATCATTAAGAAATGAACTGCAACATCTTAACATGCAAAAGATGTCTTTTGAAATGCTTTCATTAATTAGCAATCATAATAAACTATTAGAAGCCAAACAAGGATTTGATAATTATGTGAATGAAACAAATGAAAAATTAAAACTACTGCCAATGCCAACTGTAACTGAATATTTTTTAGAAGGAATTGACCAATTGCAAAGTTTAAAGCAAAACATTCTTCAATGTGGAAGATATATTGAAGTTCCACCATATCGCAATCCTCAACTTGAACAATTCATTAATGATAACCGAGAAAACCGACAAATTGACTTAAAACTTAGAAATTTGACCGATTCTGACATGAAGATTGTGGCTGACATGATACGACAAAGCACGGTAGAGACATTTTTCTGAGGTTATTGCGTTTTTTGAATAGTTTGAAAATAAGTATAAAGACGAGAATGGAAATTTGGGTTAGCGTGTTGCTTCCATCTAATTGAAATACACTTATATTTGATGTTTTGTGAGTGATAAGTGTTTTATAAAAATATGTTTTTCTCGAGAAGATCAATCTTAACGATTTATAAGTAATCAATTGATAGATTCTAGATAAACACAGGAGAATAAATGTCCATATTGGAAATCAGAATTTTTTGTCCACGAGTGTGATAGAAACTTAATTCATTATATTAAAAAGATCAATAATGTAAGTTCGCTGAAAACACAAAAATAAAACTTGCCATTGAGTTTGAAATAGAGAAAACCGAAACATCAAACATTATTGGAAAATTTTTTTTCTCATTGCTTCATTTCCTAAAATTTAAAGATAAATATTCTTGATAATGAAATAGAAGATATTTATTATTGCTTGTTCAAACGTCTCGACCGATCACCTTACTAGGAAAATTTCCTGTATAATATTCTCATGAACGAGAAAGCATAAAGTGAATCACAGATCTGTAGAATATACATTTTCAAACAGAAAATATAGTATATGAAAAAGTGTTCTGTTTATTATTGAACATAGAGTAGGGAAAAATAGAACGAATGATAGTTTATAGAAATTGAAGAATACTTTTTGAGTTATGCGTTAATAAAAAAGTTAAAGACACCTGAACTATCTGAAAACTATCAATTCAGCTAAATTTTCTGTTTTCCAAACTAACTTCATTAGAAAATCGAAAAATCATGATTAAAAACAGTTTACAATATAATTGATGTTATTTTCGTTAAAAGATAAATAAAAACTCTTCTAATGTTAAATATTAACGTCAATACTAAGATATTTTCGTGAACAGAAAAACAATTAGTAAAGCAAATTATTTTTGAAATAAATGTTTTCAAAAATTTTTCTAGCGGTGATGTTTAATTTTTAGATTCCTCTTTCGAATTGGTTTCTATACATTTCTTTTCTACGCTATTCAAGTCGAAATCTCTTGTTTCTTCAAGTAATAAAAGATAGTCTGTTGAAAGCCTTTTCAGTAAAGAACTATGTTTATTGTGATTATGACATCTCTTGATCATACATTGTTTAGGATAAGCCGTACCAGTTCCTCGACTGTTTTAGATGAATAGTGGTATTTATTACATAGAAAAACGCATTCTAGCAGTTGTTTCTAACTATATTAGTACAACAATTACCAGAGATCATATCGAATTTCAACTAAGTATGGCCACTTTTTTCCAAGTATATCTGTTATCTGCCAAAGACTCATACAGAAACTCCATCTCTGAGTCATGAAGCTTTCATTTTCGTGTCTGAGTAAATTTGTTGAGCATTGCACTCTCACTTACCGAAACAATAAGGCTGATTTAAGTTAATCATTGGTACGAGAAATTCCAAAACACAAGTATCCATTAGGAAACACTCAATAAAACAGAAATTCCCGAGTACAGCATTTATAATGGATTGACCAATCTTTTCGCGAAAAATTAAATTTTTTTCTTTTATTTTTGTTCCGTGAATAATTCTTTCAAACTTCTTCAATATCAAAAATTCCTATGAATTATATACCCGTTTTTTTTATTGATTCTCACTGATTTGAGAATATGGTAACAGGAAATCCTCCTTCTATTCACAGGAATAAGCTCAATTAACTCGGATAGAATGCCGTCCATCCGGTAGAAGAATTACACAATAAATCGAATTTCTGTATTTATTTCACAGGAAAGATTTATTCGCGAGACTTCTAGAGTTGTATCTTGGTTTAATAAGTATAGAAACTCTACCAAGGTGTAATCGGATCTTTAAAAGTCTTTTAGGGTCTCAAATATCTAACGTCCTTTATGTGTGCTTTTGCTCTCGTCCTCATCCAAGGAATGCATTCTATGTGTGTGCTACCGCGCTCTCATCTCCTTCTCTCATTTCACACAGACACTCGCTTTTCTCGACCTCAGTCGAAACCTAATCGGTGAACAAGGAGCTCAATATATTGCTGAAGCCCTAACAATTAACAAAGTAACTATTCTCTTTGTGTTATCATCGTACACTCCTTTCATTCTCCCACAGACACTCACTCACCTATACCTCGCAAGTAATCAAATTAGACAGCAAGGAGCTCACCATATTGCTGAAGCTCTAAAAATTAACCAAGTAACTATTTACTTTCTGTTATCACTACATCCTCTTTCTCTTATTTTACGTAGACACTTAGCACACTGGACCTAAGCGGAAATCAAATCGATCAGCAAGGAGCTCAACATATTGCTGAAACTTTAAAAACTAACCAAGTAACTATTTACTTTCTGTTATCACCACATCCTCTTTCTCTTATTTTACGCAGACACTTAGCATACTGGACCTAAGCGGAAATCAAATCGATCAGCAAGGAGCTCAACATATTGCTGAAACTTTAAAAACTAATCGAGTAACTATTTACTTTCTGTTATCACCACACCCTCTTTCTCTTATTTTACGTAGACACTAAGCATACTGGACCTAAGCGGAAATCAAATCGGTCAGCAAGGAGCTCAACATATTGCTGAAACTTTAAAAACTAATCAAGTAACTATTTACTTTCTGTTATCACCACACCCTCTTTCTCTTATTTTACGTAGACACTAAGCATACTGGGCCTAAGCGGAAATCAAATCGGTCAGCAAGGAGTCCAACATATTGTTGAAGCTCTGAAAACTAACCAAGTAGCTATTCTCTTTTTATTATCATCACTCACTCCTTCTCTCAACTAATGTAGACACTCACTGAATTATACTTTGAAGAAAATCAGATAAGAGAAGACATTATTGAATGGGCACTAAATTCATTGAAATGGAATACCGAGTTGAAAGTGTATTGGTGATATCTTAGGGAATAAACGATGATTTTGAAAGCATATTCGATTTTACGTTCAACCGTATGCTGGTTTTCTATATTTTTATGGACGTTTTGTGGTAATCATAATGAAGGTTTTTTATAAAAGAGACATTTATTTGATAAGAATGAAATAAACTGAAAACGGTCTTCTACAGTTGATGATATTATGCAATATATTGTATTCAGTCACCTTTTATGTGTGGTATATATAAAAATGGAATTTATACACATTGTCATTCATACTGTTCTACTGGAGAGGGACGCAGCGGATAGTAGAGCCGTAGATTATACGAAATATGGAAGCTTTCAGAAATTTTTAAAGTTTCTCACCGTCTCAAATGATTTTCTCAAACTTTAAAGATGGAATTGGTTCTGGGAAAGTACAGAAGAAAAAAAATGAAACTGTCGGTTTTTTAATGATGTTCTTTTAGCCGAATTTGGGGATTTTTATAGCTTTATTGATTTGTCGGAAAAAGTCTGAACTCGTATGACTTTAAATATCTTAATGATTGATTGAAGTCTTTTTTTCTTCAATAAAGTTGTTGATCTCTATAGTGAGATGTGTCAACAAATACATCACAAAAGACAATTTCAAGAAATTCTTTGGTTATCTTCATTGAATAGATTGTGTCGTTTTGCTGTGTATAGAAATTTTATGTAATTTCTGAAGTTTCTCGAATGGGCATATAGTATAAAAGTTTCAAAATCTCTTCATGTTTTTGGAGGTTTTGAAGTTCGTTAGTGTTTCTTCTATCAAGATATCTCGTTTATTGGATCATTTTTACACGACAGTTGATAGTTTTAGTCAATATCTATGGAATTTGTTTAAATGTATTGAGCATGTTAATATCTTGTTTGATTTTTGGAAATAGATACCAAGATATTATTATTCATTTCCAAAAAAGTTATTTCTATATCTTATGAATCTCAATTGTTCATTACCACTTCTGAATATCAATAGTTCTTCAATAATTCAACACCACTATAATTAATTAGATATGTATTCTGATTTGATACAGAATTTTTCCTCTTAATCTTTATTACTCAAGGCTTGTTATACATCTCGAAAATGCGACCCCTTTGATCGTTCATGTAATAATGTATTGAACTTGATTTTATTGTTGGGAGCAGTGGAATGAATTTCCTTTTTTATTGTTTAATAGATCACGAAGATGTCTATCGAAGAATGGTACGCTCCTCTTCATTAAACTACAATCAACTGTCTTTGATGAAACATCAGAAATCGGATAGATTGACTTTATCCGTATTGGCCACACACTGCTCATATAGTTCTACGAAATATTTGAAAACTGATGAGTGTATTGTTAATCGCTTCTATTGTAAACAGTAGAAGATAAGAAATGATCAATGAGCCAAATTAAGCGCACTCTGGTTGAAACCAGATATGTCTCTAATAAAGTCTTCCGTTCGTAAAAATACTGTATCATTTATATTTGCCGGTTCAATAATCTTTTGTTCACCTTCAGCTGATAGATATGAGAGTTTTCATGTAAATAAACAACAATCCCTACGACTAACACTGAGGAGCTTATTTGACTTCGAATCATAAATCTAGTAATGACAATCAATCTTTCCTTCTAATTGATAAATAATCTAAATCTACTGGCATGATTAATATTTCAGTTTAACAATTTTATCAATTGAGCTGAAATATTCTGATCAATCAAATTAATTTAATATGTAATTTTGATATATTTACTATCAATGGATTCATTTACAACTGTGTTTTCTGAAGCACATATTTAAATTCGTTTTTTTTCTCTCATTTTTCTCAAAACGCACGGAAAATAATTTGAAGACTGACAAAGATAATTTTACACATGGACAACGAAAAAATACTAGTTATTGATTTAATGATACTGTTAGTTTAACATTGCTACTTTCAATACACATGGATGAATCTCATTAAGCATTATACACTAGATCATATTGATAGTATCAGATTTATGCCAAGCCTTGTTCAACTCGTTTGAAATATCATATAAAAAATCATGATACTGATAGACAATTCCATGTTTTGTACATACTAATAATCATGTAAAAAGTTTTACAAGGGGAATGAACTTTTTTTTTCTGATTTATTCTCATATTTTCAATGTTTGCATGATGAGCACGAATTCTACTATCGTCATACTGAAGAATCAACTTTCAATGTGTAAGAAAAAAAAATGTTAATCTTACTAGTGTAGACTTACAATAAAGTTATTCAGAAGTTACTGAAAAACAATAATGTAAAGAACGAATTCAGTACATTTTTTCTGAGAACTATTTTGATCTATTAAGAAAGACTTCAATCGATGGTAATCCACTTAATTTGAGATGTGTCTTTGGAGGATGACATCTTTTTGGATAAATTTGACACAGTTAATTATTACGAATATATTTTTTCAACCTGTAGATAACTATGAGTGATTCTACAGTGTATGTCTGACTTGTATAGATTTACGTTTGTTTAGTATGAATGTATTTCTTTTTTAAATAATTACTTTTCGATTTATTACATATCATAAATTATGTAATTATTTTACTTAACAATTTCAGAAAGATTGACAACAGTTTTCCAGTCTATAAAATTCATAGAAAGATATTGAGTTTTTGATACATGCAAATGATTGTTTTATAATTTGTTTTTCATCATTGATGAAATTAAAATGTATTTCTGAGAAAGTAACATTATATCTTAGTTTAGTATAAAATAGTTAAGAACAATAATACATGAATGATTAATCAACGATATGGAAGTCGATCAAATTTATTTTTCTATTAATCTTTGTTTAAATATGTAATATATATGACACTGAAGAGAATTTCAAGTTTTGGATACGAATCATATTAAGTCAAGAACATATGATTCTTTTTTTTTGATGCGCTGTTCTTATACTCAAATGAATAATAAAGAAATAACTGAAATATTATGAATTGAATAGATGAAAGAATCTATTTAAATTTAAAATAAATCAAAATCATGATTTGTAAATATAAGTTTGATGTTTTGACCTTCATGCTTAATTCATTTGTCTGTTTTTTATTTTNGATTGATTCTACAGTGTATGTCTGACTTGTATAGATTTACGTTTGTTTAGTATGAATGTATTTTTTTTTTAAATAATTACTTTTCGATTTATTACATATCATAAATTATGTAATTATTTTACTTAACGATTTTAGAAAGATTGACAACAGTTTTCCAGTCTATAAAATTCATAGAAAGATATTGAGTTTTTGATACATACAAATGATTGTTTTATAATTTGTTTTTCATCATTAATGAAATTAAAATGTATTTCTGAGAAAGTAACATTATATTTTAGTTTAGTATGAAATAGTTAAGAACAATAATACATGAATGATTAATCAACGATATGGAAGTCGATCAAATTTATTTTTCTATTAATCTTTGTTTAAATATGTAATATATATGACACTGAAGAGAATTTCAAGTTTTGGATACGAATCATATTAAGTCAAGAACATATGATTCTTTTTTTTTGATCCGCTGTTCTTATACTCAAATGAATAATAAAGAAATAACTGAAATATTATGAATTGAATAGATGAAAGAATCTATTTAAATTTAAAATAAATCAAAATCATGATTTGTAAATATAAGTTTGATGTTTTGACCTTCATGCTTAATTCATTTGTCTGTTTTTTATTTTTCAATTTATTTTTAATTTAGTCAATTATTCTAAATTTATGACACATACGTCAATTTATGATTATTTTCCTCATATTAAATTATTATTTAATTTCGTAGTTTCCCATGTAATTTTTATTTCATATTGGGATAAGAAAAATAATACAAAAACAATGTTTATCTGACTTGTTTGAGTCTGAAGTACAATAAAGTCTTTATGAAAATTCCAAATAAGTATCATTGAAAGAATTAGATCGATTGAAATGTCAAATAAATATTAAATGACACATTTTTTTATTAAGGAACTAATCAATATCGAAGCGTCATTTGGAAATTTTCAAGTAAACTCTCGAATGCAATCATCATTATTTCGCCTTTTTTTTTTATTCATGATAAGTGAAGTAAAGACATAAAAAATAATGCTATGTACCAGATCGTTCTCCATCACACTTTACATTTACATTTAACAAAAAAGAAACCATTTCATTATCGTTATTCGTATGCAAAAAAACAAAAACAAAATTACCTTGCCATGTGCTTTTTTTTTCTGCCTAGAAACTTATGTTTTTATTTTTTTACGAAAGGTTGCACAGAATAGAAATAAAACCGGATCGTTTGAATAAATATTTGGATAAAAATCGTCCAATGAAAAAAAAAAAGAATGCACTTTTTAAGCATTCATTACATGACAAAAACAAAGACAAATATTTTTGGTTGTCAGCTGTCACTTCATTAGACCTTGAAAACGATAATTGCATATTTCAATTAAAAAACCTACGCTTAATAATAAATATTAATGATATAAATTAGTAAAAATCGATTTTTTTTTCTTCTCTTTATTATTGTATTTAAATTAAATTTCATTAAAAACAACTTCAATGATATAATATTCTAAACTAATTTATCTTTAAAATATTCAAGAAAATTCCAAAATAATTTGAAATATATTTCAAACAAGTGTGTGTACTAGAATAAGTACTTATAACATAGAGATTAAAGTCTAAGCTACAAGTCCCCAACAATACAAGATGGAAAAGACGAAGTGAAAACATTTTTTTCTACACTAATCAAGAACGAAAACAAGCGCGCATATCATTTTTTTTCTTTCCTCTATCGATGAGAATCACATACATGACGTGTAATGTTACTATGAAATGGTTTTTTCCTATTGCATGTTGCATCTGGACTCATTGACATAAGATTGAATAAGAAATTTCCAGAATAACTTATTCATTTTAATATATATATATAGTAGAGCATCGTTAGTTTTTCTAAAAATTATATCTTATCGATATGGCTAATACTGACATTATTCAAACAAGAGATTTTACAAAATTGTCTTACTTAGAAAGTCACGATTCAGTTGTAAGTAAAGTAAATGAAATCAAACAAGTTATCACTCCAATAAATAATATTTCAAAACAAGAAGAAATTACTCACAAGAAACATTTTTTAAATGAATGTGAATCATTACGACAAATTCGAATTCGTAGTCTTTCACATTGGTTACATGTTATACCAAATTCTGAATCAATGATATCTGCTGGTTGGTTTTCATGTAATGTTAATGATCGAGTTATATGTATATATTGTAATACAATATGTCAAGGATGGACAATAAATGATAATCCAACTGAAGTTCATAAAAGACTTGCTCCAACATGTCCATTTGTTCTTTCAATGTCTTCAATAGAAAATTCACCAAAAGTTATCAATGATAGTTTTAATGAAAAATTTGAACCATATCATCCAAAGATGGCTGAAATATCTCGTCGTGAAGCAACATTTTTAAAAACTAATTTGACTGATAATTTACCAAATATTGAAAATTTAATTCGTGCTGGATTCTTTTTTGCTGGTATTGAAAATATAGTAACATGTTTTTATTGTAATGGATCATTACATCAATGGAGTTCAAATGATAATCCAATGATTGAACATGCACGATGGTTTCCTCAATGTACTTATGCTAAACATTTATGTGGTGATGAATTATATAAAAAAATTCAAGCTACAAAAAAAAGACTTCCAAAAGAAAATGAAATTCATCAAAATGAACTTAGTAAATTAGTTTCAGCAAGACTTGATTTACCTATTGTTGAACGTCTTCGTTCTCAATATCCAATAACAGTAATTAAACGTTGTATTGAAGATCAATTGAGAATAAAACAAGATGATTTTGTATCTGATCTTGATTTATCAACAGCTTGTCTTATTCTTCAAAAACAAATCGATCATATTAAAGGTTGTCAAGATAAAATAATAGTTCCATCAAAACATCAACAATTACAAATATCATCTTTATCATCAAAACAATCATTGGGTGAATGTTTAATATGCCTTACTGAAGAAAAACAATTAGCTTGTATACCTTGTGGACATTTATGTGCTTGTGTTCCTTGTGGATATGCACTTAAGTCATGTCCTATTTGTCGACAAAAAATTCAAAGTTTTATGAGAATTAACAATTAATATTTATTCTTAAATTAATATTTATTTTTTTAAAATGTATCTCGTATTTATTTTTAAATAAGTATTTTGTATGCCTGATTTTTAAGGCATTTATTACATAATAAATTATGTTAGTGTTAGGATATACACTGTAAAGATGATAAAAATCTTCTTTTTCTTTTCTTCTATGAATAGTACAAACAGTATACCAACACTATATGATATAAGCAAGATTATCTTCAAGTTCTAGATAAGAATTCTAACTACAGTTAGATCAAAAACACAAGAGCTATCCTATGTCATCGTTTTTGTTTTCGATAAAACCGACGATTAACTATGGTTACTAAAACAAAACTACCGATTCAGATGGTTTACTCTTTTTATATCAATTTTCGTGTATTTATTTTTTTATTTTTGTATTAATTTGGGTTCGTTTGTCGTGAAAACATCGATTTCATCTCAAAACCAAACATTTTCTATGAATTATAAACATGTTTTGTTAGATGATCGTGCAAGTATATTTATTCGTTTTATCTTACGACTAACGAATCATTTTGAAGTATCATATATACAAAACAATCAAACTCGTAAAGTAAGTCGGAACGGTCTTTGTGAGTAGTATAGGCAACTTAAGCTCGTTCGCAATTGGTAAGAAGTGTGATTTTTTTGCGACTGAAATTTGACATTTTTCTATGACTTAAGAAAAATTTATGCGTCGAGGTATAATAAAAATCAATTATTTGAATAGTACTTGATTATTACTTCCGTTTGAATGCTTTAGTTGTCATGACTCGTTCAAGTTTATTTTCTCGGACAGTACCCATCAGAGAGTCCTCTTGGTGACATAATAAAAACTTTCAACATATGGAAAAATAATATTTGTATGAAGGAAAAATAAAACAGAAAAATCGATCATACACGGGTACATTAATCAAAAGAATAATATCAAAGTTCAATAGGGATTGCATCACATTGATGAAATACTTTAGTTACTGCGTTCTTTTTTTTTTGTCGAATACCCCCAATACTTGGTAAAAGATATTACTTCCTCTTTCTTCAAGCATCTTTGAAAGACAACAATATGAAAAACAATAGTGCTTGCTAATGGTTTCTTCATAGTTGAACGTTGACTTATGATATAGTAGATCATAATTCTTTCGATCATGATAATGAATATCAAAAATTACCAGATAAAAAGAAATATCATGATGTACAAGTTATGCCAAAATATATTATAATTACGTGAATTATTTCTGAAAGCTATCGTTTTTATTCACTATTGAGTATACTAATGAAAACGTAGAAACACCAAACATGACTTTATAATAAAATCTCCAATCAACTTGTATCGAAGAAGATAATATTATGTATGTTTTTCTTTTCTTTTATGATACAATACAATTATTTAAAGATTCTATTGTATTTTTAAATAAACGGATGTCTTTTAGTAGACACAGTTTAAATATGAAAAAAAAAAAAATTTTGTTTTTTTGATGCATAAAATAGTCTAAAAAGTGAGTTACATATTTTTGTAATTTTTAATGATATTTGTTACGCTGTGTTTTTTTCTCTTATTTATTTTCTTTAGCAATTATTAACGAAAGGTAGGTGACAGATGTAATCAGCAGATGAATAATTATTATCCAATATTTATTCAATGCATAATTTCATGATATTCTTATTTAATCATACTTTCATTGTGTTTATTACACAAGTTTTCATATGTCACAGTTATTATTATTCCAAATCATCAACAACTCTCAAGAGTATTGACAGAAACTATATCAAATCAGTTATTTTATAGCTTGTTTCGTAATCTCGTCTTTACTTATTGACTAGTTTTGATGCAAAAGAAAAAAAACAAAAGAATGATCCGCTACAAAACGAAAATTTTATGATGATTTGAAAGTCTTTCATATATACTTCGACTTCAATATCAAGCTTGGCATACATATCTATCGCTCGTTGAGATATGTTGTAAAGATTTAGAAATATTTAATAGGCAAATAATTTAATCGACATTGACGTTTATCGATGAGAATGATTAAATAGTTGTAGATCATATACCATATTTATGCGAATTTGAATAGTAAATGTTCACACAGTTTAATCTTTTAGGGATAACATAATTGATTTATTCGTATATGTTATATAAGGAAGAGTTACTTAATTTTATAATTTTTTGCTTTTTCATTTATTTAAGAAATATTTATGCGACTTGTTTGAGCAGACACAATATTATACAAAGGCGAAGTAAAATTCCCGTTTAGCATTAGCACGTCATTTCATCAATACTGACCTGAATAAGTCAGGTGATCCTTTGATCAAATGCTTTATAACATAGAATTTATGATGGAATGGTTTCGATTACTCTTGAAATAACGATGCAGGGATGATAAAAACTGAATAATGATGAAAATTTTCTTGTATTGATTCTTGTCCTAATAAATTTATTATTCGAAGACAATGCTCGAATTTCGAGTTGTATTTTTTTTCAAAAAGTTATTTATTAAACGTACCGAACTATCACAGAATATAGATCACGATTTCTTTCATATTCTTTAATGAATATACTGAAATCAGATTATTCTGACGTGTCTTTCAGGAGTATTATATACTAAATAAATTCTTATGAATAGACATAAACGTAAATTTGTTGTAGTTCTCGTCTACATCACGACTCTTGATGAGGATGAATGCTGATGGCCAATCTCGATTTATTTGACATGTCTGTCGAAATCTTCTGCCTAAATGGTTACCAGCTCCGATAGACAATCTCTAATCGCTGGTAAACCTGAAAGATATTCTGGAGTAAAATTAGTCATCTATGGCGATGAATTGAGGTATCGTTTATCGAATCCATATATCATCCAATTGCAAAAGCTTTCACTTATCTTTCTGATTACTTATTTAAATAATTCATTCTTGAATGTTTTATTTAATATGATTATGAATGATTATAATTGATAATATTAGAACCGCGATGAGAAAGCATAAAAATACAGATATGTAGAGTCTACCGTCAAAATGAATAGATTTCTCTTACTAAAAAAGTTTCTTCAAAAAAATCAATTCCTTTGAATAACTTGTCAAATAATTATGGTCATCATGAAACTTATTCATTTCGAAAATGTTTTAGCACACCTGAACTCAGACATGAGCATGTTGAAAGAGACATGTATTGAATGGTAGCAGAAACAAAAAGAAAACATTCGCATTATTCTTTATTAGAAAAAAGGCACATAATATGTACATGAACTTCATGTCCTAATTTCCGTTATACAAAAGATTTTTTCTATAACCAATAATTTTTGAAAAATTTTCCTCCACATGCGCAGGTGCACGCAGATAGATTTTGTATGCTTGATCAAATGGGGCTTAAATGGAGAACGCCCAACACAAAAGTATGGAGAAACGTTTGTGAATTGAATGTAAAAAATACTCTTTTCCAAAACATTATAGGCGCGGGTGAGTATGAGTATTGGTAGGAAGACAATCACAACCCCCAATCCACACCCCCACCCTTAAATTCTTAGTACTAGTACGTATTTTTTTTTTTGAACGAAAAATTGTAGTTTTATAACGTATTGGGTTGCTTTTCATTGAACATGGCTTAGTGTATATAGCTTATTATTGTGAATTCGGATCGAAAATGAGAAGATAGTAGAACGAACGTATTATAAAAGCATGCACATACATATGAATGAGCAAGGAAAAAAACATGCATAAGTTAATGTTGAGGATTCTTCCGATATGTGTCTGTGCATCACACATGAGTATTTCCTCTACGAACTAGGTAATTTCACAACTTGGCTTTTCCTTTGTTGTCACATATACCGCATTGGTTTTTTCCTTTCTCTTATATGCGTCACTCTATATAAATATATATCTATATATATATATATGTTAGTGTGTTCTTGTTTCTCTTCTCTTTGATATATTCTTCTCTACTTTTACGTGTTTAGTGTTTTCCCAATAAAACCGAACTCATGTTCACCCAAACTTACAGTTAAAATACAAGAAGCAATTCTTTTCTTGATTTTTCGCAGAAAGAACAAGTAAAGAGTGCATGAGTAATTTGGACAGAAGACAAAAACATACAGTTACTATCTAATTCAAAAATAAATAAATATTTCTGAAAAAGTAAAATTACAATTGGTAAATCTCCAAATGAAATGGGCAGTTGCCCATTTGTTATGCCGCTGCTATACATAGAGAATTTCAATGTCTTACGTGAAGTTAAGATCAAATTCAATTTTCTATGGTAATGTCGTGCTGTGTTTATTTTTCTTTCAATTAGTATAAAATTCTATCATTTGAATGACAAAAGAAAACGGTCACAGGTATAATGATGTCGGTATTTATTGATAGAAAAAAAATGTTATTAATACAAAACTTTTAATTTATTTTCAAAAATTATATTTTTGTTCATTCGAAGCACCCATCCCATTTTTTTTAATAGAGTCCAGTGCCCTTGCAATACCCAGAACTTGTTCTCTTTTTTTATTCACAATATTTCGCGATATATTGGATGACAATTCAACCGTTTTGATGACTAAATCACTTTCTTTTGTAATTTTTTGAACTTTGGATAGATACTGCTGTAAGATGAAGATTTCTGCTCGACAATCGTAACAATGATCGAGGCCTTGGCCTTTATCATATTCTATGTTATGTTCGTAATGCATGATTCTAGTCACATTGTGGAAGTAACTTAGATCTTCCTCAAATAAAGCATTATCGTACTTTGCCACTGTTGCATCTTTCTTAACAATTAATCGACATTCACTCGATCGTTTCGAAGCCCATGGTTCAATGACAAGCGTACCTTTAAGATATTCAGTTGCGCCAGGCTTATGCGGCAGCCGAAAATTTAATAAAGACATGCTAGGTTTCAATAACCTATGCCAGATTTTTTGATTTTCCATGTCATCTATAATATCGTCTTGTTGATTTTTGTAATCATTGAATGTGTGAACGTTGCAAATAAATAATAAATCACGCTGTAAACCTGCAAATTGTTGTGCTAAATTTGAATTGAATGATTCGGATCGAATTTTAACTCTTTCTGTTGGTTTTACATCAAACTCCGTTGTATCGATGAGAACAAACTCAAGTTTTGGAAATAATAAACTTAAAAAATTTAAGTGGGAACCCGGTGCAGCACCAGCATAAATGACCAAATAGTTCCCATCAGCACCGTAATTTGTAAGAAATTCTATTTCTGTTAGAAGCAATTTTCTTTGTCCCCAATGTTCGGTAGTGTTTATTTTTCTGGAATCGGCATTCTTATTATCGAATTCTTTAGGCGCTGCAACAAGAAGGCGCATTTCACTAGTAAAATCCTTTTGATAAAGTTGTAATTTTTCTCTGCTTCTAAAAACTTCACGTAAATGTTGATTTTCTTCATATATTTGTCGGTCTTTTTTGTTTAGCTTCAAACTTTCTACATCAAACTGTTCCTCTTGTTTTAATCGTTCAAGCAATCGTTTCTCATCACCATATAATTGCGGTTTATTATCAGCTTGACGATTTCTCGGAACTGAATAATTTTGTGCACTCCTTGATGGAGACGTACTATGATTTCGGCGACGATTTTTCGGTGCTTCATTTTTGCGATTATGCACATCACTGAAAAGAACAGTCAATTAAACCTATTCAAATTTCTTTCAACACTTCATACCATACATATAGTGCGATTTTCAGATATTAGTTGTGCTAGGAGAAATCGTCTTATCATCAATAATAATTCTCAAGAATCTTCCATTCAACGTAAATATAGTCTTTTTTTTAATGTAGATTATGAAAAAATATGTAGAATGATTTCCTCTAATAATTTATTTCAAATAAAATTTTGAAATACAAAGAAGGAAATGTAATATGTTTATTCTCCGATTTGGTTTTTCTTTCTCATCCGATGAATCGAATAGGGAAAATATTGTATCCTGCACATCTATCTTACAGCTCATAATACTCAGTCCTCTGTGTGACTGACTGTGTGATATGAAAGTGTCTTTAGAGTGTTTGACATTCGTTTTATTTTCATATCTCTCATTATGTATCAATAATTGACATCGTATTTCATCATCAACAGGCATTCACAGAGCACCGTACGTAATGATAGAGGACATGTTTTTAAGTATCTTAATTACGACTAGTAAAGCTAGTGAACTTGTTAGTTATTTACGGTGAGATTCGATCTTTTATATTTTTCCATTAAAATCCAAACTATATCATATATATATATCGCTTAAACATTTTTTTCGCAGAATGAAAGTAACTTTATCATGATTGTTATCTTAACATTGTAGGATTCAGCTTAATTTTTTTGTTTTATATATAAAATAAATCAACATACTTTGGCTTAGCCAGAAATACTCGAAATTCTTTCATGAACGATATTGACCATTCAATATCGTCCATTGCTCGATGATTAACTGTGTCCTGACCATTTCTAGCCAATTGTTTCTTTATTTTTCCTTCAATCCAAGGTGCCCATCTTCTCATTATCGCTTGAAATGAGCTGACATCGATAATTCGATAATGTAAATAATCGTGAACTTTCGGCATTTGAAGTTTTAATACTTGTTTATCGATATGAATCGAACTACCAGCTAATGGACACATCTTCTCCGGGCAATAAAGTTTGAGTTTAGTTAATAATTCGTCTTCTACTCGTTCCTTTGTAAGCCTTGATTTTAAAACATCAGCAAATAAACCATTCCCACCTTGACTTTGATTTGCAAATGTTTCCTGGTGCCATTTACCAAGTCCCTCTAATACGGATCGTTCAAAATGAATAACCCAGTTACCTTCGAAATATAAAAGTATTAATCAGTTGCTATTACAAACTTTTCTATAAAATCTTGTTTTAGAGAAGCTACATATTATGAAGAAAATATAGTGACTGTAAATTTAAATTGAGGTTTATGTGACTTCCCTTCTTCCTAGGTCCTAACAATCGGGAGCAGAAGAGAAGTCAACAGTGATAGTAAGATCTTTACTTTTTACAACTTTCCAATTATTGTCTTTTTTTACTTTACTTAACAATGATCTTAATGGAAGTAGAAGATTCTTTACCTCGATCTAATACTTGAAGATCCTTGTCGGTAATAATAACAGCACATTCTAAAATTTCAGGTTCTTCAATAGATGTCATTTCTAAATCAATCCATACAATATTCATTGACTTTTCTCTATCTGCATCAGGCGACCATTTTGAAACATCTTCAGTCTGTATTGCATTGGCACCCAGCTGTTTCAAAAGATTACACATAGTTTGATCATTATTGACTGAAGCCAATTGAAAAGGTGTGAGACCATCCGAACCACGTCTAACATTTATATCTAATTCATATTTTCCCATAGCGTAATGAAGCACATCATCTAATTTTCTTTCAACTAATTCGTGCAATAAAGAATTTTTGTTATTCGATAAATTTCGCCATTTTCCTAACATTATAGTTCCAAACTGTTTGGCAAGATCATCAAGTCGTCTAATGATGCTATTTTGATTGTCATTTCCAAGTGAAAGCAGTTTTAATAATTCTCTATTAAATTGATCCATCGCCATGTTGTTGATGTTATATAGTCGGTAGAAAAGAAAAAAGAAGTAAAATGCAGTAAAAAAACAACTTTTTATTAATGCTCGCCGGAAAGAAATAAAAAAAAACACACCGTCGACGACCACTGCTTTCTCTATTGGTTAACGTGTTCCATAGGTAAAAGCATGCAAACAACAACAAGAAAAGAAAAACAGCAAATGATGATGTTCTTGAGAATCATAACCAATAACAACATACAGGAGTGTAACTGAAGAAATCATAGAAAGTTGTAGTTTTGTTTCAGTTTCTGTAATTTTATGTTCTTTCGGTGAATAAATCTTAGCATGATACAAAAGATTGATTGACATTACTTTTTATTTTTATATGATATCAAATATTTTATTGAATCTAGATCAATAGGACTTTGTCTTGTTTTCTTGGAAAGGTAATTGTACAATCTTTACATAAACCACCACCATTATTTTGTTATATATGATAATAAACGTTGTGTTATTTTATTTCTTTGTTTTCTTTTTTCTTAACTGCGAGTAGAAAGTAAGTTAACAATGACAAGGTTAAGCTATTTCTCGTACTTTAAATATATTGCTACAAATATCGTTAGTCCAATAGAGAAATATTTTCAAGAGTTGTCAACTAATAGAGTACTAATGAGCTTGTGACTTTATTGACGAAGATGAACTTCACTATTGACAATAAAAGCGAAGAATTTTTTACTCTGTATATCTTTTCGAGTGACATCTACTTTGTCCATACTTTAACGCATGTGACAATACTCAGCAACTTGTCATTAAAACATAATATAGTTGATCATCAATAAACATACAATGATTATGGTCATTATCACTGACATGAACGATAATGAAAAAAAAATTGATTCTAGCATTACTTCTGTTTTTTGACATTTTTCATATTATTTTATTGTTAATGCTTACATTGGTTCAATGGCAGACACAATTATATATTCTTCGATAATGAATGCTATATAATCTTTGAATAGACAAGATAGTGTTTGAATCGATATTATTAATTACAAAAAGTATAATTAGAAATATTATCGTTTGAGAAAGAGAACATCAACTGATTAATTATATTTTCGATCTTTAGATTTTGACTTTCTTGCATCAACAAGGGAAAAAGAATAAAATATATTATTCGAATTCATAGCAGTGCTCAGGTTTCTTGAGAGAGATATTTCGAAAATTGCCAAAACATAAAAGTAATTTATAAAGATTTTCTGTAATTACTGATTCATTAGAAAGATATCGTATAGAATATTTCAAAAATTTCTGGTACACTCCTAAGATTTATTTAATATCGATATGCATAAATGAAATTCGTAGTCTATAACAATAAATATAGAAACACTCTCTCTCCCAAATTATAAGAATTTTCGGTAATTTTCAAGTAATATCGAAATTTTTTAGTAATTTTTGATATTTCCCAGAAAACACTTTCTTTTAAATCCTAAATTAAGGAATTTGCTTACATATTACTTTCTGATGTATTAGTAATTACCGAAATTTCTCAGAAGTTTCCTAAGAACTTTCTTCTAATATATCTTAACAATTTCAGTAATTTCTTTGCTATGCATTAGGAATTATCAAAATTAGTCAAATATTACCTTTTCGTGTTTTTCTGATTTCTGAAATCGGATTTTTTATGAAGGAAGTTTAGTTGGGTGTGGGCGTGGGTTATGAGAAATTTCTGAGCAAACTAGACCTGCACCAACTCATACCCGAAAAACTAAAGAAAAATGTAGTAGGTAAAGTAGTAAAAAACCAATAGAAAAATATCAGAAGGCATAGAAAAAATGACAAATTATTTTTTAACACATAAATAAATCGAAAGTATCCATTACATATAAACCCAAAACATGTATCCGAAAATCATTAGGTTACATGAAAAAGAAAAGCCAATACTTTTCAGAAAATAGAACATTCTTTAATAAATGGAATTAGGAATGTACCAATTCGAATTCTTAGAATTGGTCTAAATTGGTTAGAACTGAAAGTAGTTATGGTAGGATCACTAATTTTGCACATAATTACATGACACTATATTTTAATAATGTGTCACTGTCATAGTCAATTCTGATGTTTGCAAGTGAAGGATTAACAATAAGATTTTCACTGATGATGATAGTCTTTTTGCATCACCAATGTGCCAAAGAACAATGCTCACTTCCACATAAATAGGAAGTAAACAGTTATATGAGATTCGATTATAAATAGTACGAAACACTTCTGTTTCATTCTCTGAATAGTCTTGAAGCAAGTTTCAATGAATTGAGAGTCCGAAACATCTAGTAGTCATCATTTGAATCCTTCGAATCAATAACACCGACTGTTTCAACAATTGAAAGGCGTATCCTCGTCGCTTTGATGTACTGATATTTTCAAGTGACAATCATTGTCCGCAATAATTGTCTGTTAGTGTGCTTCACAATCGCATTAGAGTTTTCTATATCGTTTCAAAAGTTTCTCGAGAGGTTCCACGGCGAAAACTCATCATTATCTTTCAAATAACGTACATTGTACAGATTGAATTCGATCTCATAAAATATTAAGAAAAGCTTTAAAATCAATAAACGTGTGATGCTTTATTTCAGAAAAGAAGAGTTCGTTTTTAACAAAACTTTATTTAAATATAAGATAAATCACTCATATCTAAACTGATTCTCTGTCAATGAATGTTTATCGGCACATTTTTGCAATATTTTTAATCCTTCATTATACATTTCATAAGTTTTCTGTTGAAAATCAGCTGGGAAACCAATTAACATACAATTGGATTCCATTTGCTACACCCGAACCGTCTCTGAATAACCAGTAATAAGTGTTGTATGTCATACCAACAACGGTAGTAAATGACTCTTGGAGAAATTGTAGGTTGTTAGTGTCCGGACATGCATTGTTGTAGCACCAACCGGCGCTGTTTAGGCAATTCGATGTTTGACGTATCGATGAAGTACAGCTTCCACCGCATGAAGATACTTGCCAACCAGATGAAGCACCACTTTCAAAGTTTGAATTTACAATCAAATTTGTTGATGGACTAGTACTAGCCGCTACAGTAACATTATCGACATACCAATCTCTAACAGCGTTCGATGTAGCTGAGGTAAAGCGAAGAATGGTGGTAGTCGATGTTGCCACGAAGGAACCATTATATAGTGTCCACACGAGCGGTGGAAAACTTGTAATTGATTGAAGCAGCCCATTGCTGGTATAGTTACAGGGAATGGCTAAAATGAAATATGAAAATTTTTCGTTGTCTTCTACTTGAGACAAGTTAATCAACGAGTATTGCTGTTCTTGCATATAAAGCGACTCGTTCAGTATTCTATATCTTCTGCTGATTTTCCCGAACTGTGTGTAGGTGTTTTGTGACACTCATATATATTCTCGAAGAAAGTAGTGAGTGTAAGTTTTAAGTCGAGGTTTTCAGGCTCTCTACACCCTCCCCCTTCTTCCTTCTCCATTACAGACATTCTTTCCATAACAGACCTTGAAAACTCATGTTATATTCTAGCTTATGTAGAATATTTGAGTTCCACATTTCAGCCCCAAAGGAGCTGCGCTAACAACTTTTTTGAATGAGTCTTACGGGAGTGGGGTGTGGGTGTGGATTAGTGTCCGGCGTGACTCACGGGTATTAAAATAGTCGAGGACATCCACGGGTTTAGCAATGAGGAGGGATAGGGGAATTTTCCCCAAGCTACCCCTACCCCTTCCACCATCATCACTATTAACAAAAATAGAAACTTTTTTTATGTTGAGGAACCAGAAAGAAGGGTCGTGACTAACGGTCACGGGCTGAGCTCAACGTGATCATAACTGTGACGTGAGCGTAACTAGAAAACGTTGGTCATGTCGGCCACTAATGTCGATGTGCACATGAATATGTGGGTGTGGGTGTCATTGAAGGCAAGATCCACACCCACACTCCTAACTATGGTGCTTATAGTTTTTTCTTTTATAAACCCAATATGGAAAGTAATTGTGTAGATCGACACAGTTTTTCATGCTCTAAAAAATGGCATGTAGATCATATTTGCGTTTAATTTCTCTTTTAAATTATATAGGATCAAATAGGTACAATATTGTACTCATCTGATCCTACATAATCTAAGAAAGAAGTTAAAGGTAACATGATCTATATGTCATTCGTAGAGCATGAAAAACTGTGTCGATCTACGCTATTACTTTCCATATTGGGTTTATAAAAGAAAAAACTATAGGCACCATAGTCAATCTTTAAAGCACCTGAAAGTGATAGACCCTCATATGACTGTTTAGTCTTCGAAAAATGTTTTTTCCGTCAACAAAAAATAAAAGAAATAGGCAGAAATGTGCGGAATTTCATGCTCTATCTTTGTATTCTATTGAAAGTCAAATCTATGGGAGGGGGTAACAGATCTAAGACCTTATCATACGGTATCCTTAATCGATCAAAAACTATAAATAGTTCATCACGGCCGACGATTACGAATACAATGGTTACTAAACCTGAGACTACATTGGACATAGAAAGCATTTGCAGTTCTAGTGGTCTCAATAAAAAGATCATAAGATCCTCTGTAAATCCGTCTTAAAATAGTATAATTTTCAATATGGTAATTCATTTTTTCATCAGATGCCACTGCTACTTGGAGCTAGTGCAATTTTGGACTTGTATATTATCTAGTTGAAAAAGTCGAAATCGGATACCAAAAGTATCAAATGACAGTTATAGTAAAAGAATAAGTTTGATAGAGATATGTTTGAAGAAAAGATTTTACAAAGACGTTTGGTTATTTTGGTTGCGGATAAGATATGTAACACAAACAACAATAAACCATCAGCTTTAGGTGAGCACTATAAACGGTAGAAAAGAATATCATATTCGTCTTTTATATGAAATGAGCTGTATGATTAAAAAAAACAAGTAGGGTCATCCGACCAGATCGCCCATTCCCATATATTTATCTTGAGAATAGCTCTACTTAAGCAGTATATTTTTGTACGTGATATCACGACATGTTTGTCTATATATTAAGAGAGTTGCATTTCATAAAAAGGAATTTTCATGTCATGATAAGTGATCAAAAACTGGTGCTTACGAGGGAACACATACAACTGATCAAACGCTATTTAACTTTTAGTAATTCCAGTTTGTAGAGCTTGTTGAATTATTAACTGATATAATAATCTTTCGTGCCCATAATGAGGCTTTAAAGTAAATTTCTGATAATCAAAGTGTTCATTAACCTGTCCATACCCTATAGTGNTTAGTCTTTAAGTTGTCGAGAAACACCTGCAGGAACATGAGGTGATTTATTTAATTTACTCAAAAACCAATCAACCATCAAAGCTGGTAAATTAGATATTGGAAAGAAAACAAGACTTGATTGCCAACCAGGTCGATAACGAATATGAGGAACTGTATTCATAACAACATGTTGAAGAGCTCGAACGACTTTTATAGGGTCTTCGGCATGTTTGAAGAATGCATTGTCTTTAATGGAATTTAATCTAGCTTTAATAAAATCTTCTCCCCACCGTTCTTTAATATCATTTGAAAGTTGACTCCGAAAATCGGCAAATAATTTCGGACTTCCTTGAATAATAGGCGTTCGCATAAATCCTGGTTCAATAATACTAACACGTAAATTCCACGGAACCATTTCACGACGTAAACAATCCGAAAATGATTCAAGTGCATATTTTGATGTACAATAAGCCGACATACTGGATAATGTCAGGTAACCAGCTACTGAACAAATATTAACAACACGAGAATCACATTTAGCAATAAGTAAAGGTAAAAATTTCTTTGTCATTGCAACATGTCCAAAATAATTCACATCCATCACTTTACGCATAACTTCGATTGATGTCCAATCAATATATGAACCTGCAGCAATGCCAGCATTATTAACAAGAGCATGAAGAACTTTTGTTTTTCCGTTGACTAATTCGAATGCAGCATCAATATCTTCTTGTTTAGTAATATCAAGACGAAAAACTGTAGCTTTTGGTGAAAGTTTATTTTTGAGCGAATCAACATTGTCAGGGACGAAGACGCCAGCAAGAACATTAAAACCTTGTTTATCAAGTTCAATCGCTAATCCATGACCGAATCCAGTATCACAACCACTAATAAGAACGTATTTACCATTAGAATTGATGTTTGGTGTCGGAAAAAGATGTTGATATAAACGATAGAAGATATAAAGGATAATTATAGAACCAATAAACAGCCACATCATAATACTGTACAGATAAATGAAAAGACACCAAAAAACACAACTAGCGTTCTTCGTGTATGACTTCTAATCCAGAGTTATTACTACAATAATAACAATGTCGAGTCGAACGTACTGTATAAAAGAATGCAAAGCACATTTTGTTCTATAAACACTTATGGTATTTCTTTATCCTTTCTTTCTTCGTATTTTTTTTTTGATATATATGCGGTTCACAGTACAAACATTATGTATCAATATATATTTCGATCTTTGATCTTTCTTTAAAAAGTTGGAAGAGATAAAGAAAGAAGTAAAAATCGAAGAAAGCGGTGAGAATAAAATTGAGCTACTTATAAAAGGGTGCAATGTCGATGAATACATCTTATGTGTTTGATTTTAGTCTATAAAAACATGAGTCAATTCTTTTTATGGAAAAAGCAGCATTATGCTAATGTGTTATAACCAATGTCGTGTACGGAAACTGGTTTATGTATTTGATGAGACTATATAGTTGCTCGATTGTTTTCGAAAACTAAAATTAAGGATATCTGTGTCATTTTGTCTAGTGTCGATAAGTGAACAGAAAACTTGAGAAAATATAGAAAAAGCCAGATTGGAATGTCAATCAAATTAATGACAAATGCATAGAGGAATACTCATTGCAGCATATAAACAAAGTAGCGACGAAACGCATTTTGAACACATATAAATAAGACTTAATCGTAAATAGCATTCTAATAATTGAGTTTTCTGGTTGACTACGAGAAAATGCTCGATACTGAATAATAGCCTACATGTACTTCTTTTATATTCTTCTTGATACTCTCATTGTTTAGATAGGTATGTACATGTAACTTGTTCATCTTCATCATACGATTGAGATAGATTTAGACGAATCGGTTGCTTTAATGTATCAGATTTTTCCGATTATTGTAAGGAATCTCACTCAATTCTGTCTGAATGTGAGTGTAACGATAAACGATTATATCGTGATATCAACTGCTTTATTTCAATAATCTCTCTTCTTTTATACTTACGTTCCCCTCCTTCGGGGCGCGTCAATCAACCGGAGAGAAAGAGAGATACACCCAAGCAGACAGACATGTCGATTTTGTACAAATTTTCTGTACAAAAGGAACAAACTTACAGATTTTTGAACTATCTAAATTTGTCACCAATTTTCGCACGAAATCTCATTTTGTCATGTACGTTTTCAGCTAAATTTCAGGTTTTTTATGTCAAATTTTCTCCAAAATAATTTTAACAAAATAAAAAATGCGTAAAAATAGCTCAAAAACTTGAAATTTAGCTAAAAAAGTGAATAAAAAATTGAGATTTCATGAGAAAGTTGGTGTTAAATTTAGATGGTCGAAAAATCTGAAAGTTTTCCCTTTTATACGGAAAATCAGTACAAAAATTGACATGTATGTTTGACGTGTGCACACGCCCAACGAAATAGCCGAAGTTGAACGCGTAATGGATAATATCAGTGTGTATAAAGAAGAAAGTCGTTATATACATTAATTAAGATAGAACGAGTGCTTATATCGGCACGGTGGGGATGGCTGAACACAATGTTGAATAGTTCTCTTGTGTTGTCTTTACAAGTTGCAGCTGTAGAATTACTAGTTGTGTGAGTTATTTCATAACAAAAAACAAGAAAAAACTATACCTGAATAGTTGTGATCTGGTCTATATGCTATCATATGATTTTTGTATATATATCAGAATACTTTAAAAGTGTCCATGATGGCTTTTATGTTAAGAAGGATTTCTCCAATCTGAAAAGCTTATATACTTAAATGAATATTTGTGCTTGATGTATTCACAAAAGCAGATATATTTGTGACAGTAAGCTGCTAAGTTAATTTCATTCTTTGTATTCGATTTAATGAAGTATCTACAGTAATTTATCTTTGCAATTTGCATTATTTTCTATTTCGTGGTATGTATTCTATATAGAACTGACAAACAAGAACTACAACTGTTCTCACATTTATAAAATTCTATAAGATATTTATTGTAGAGCTAAAAGCTTTCTATTTAGCGCGAAGTCATGTCCCACTGATAGAAGAAATCCAACGAGCATGTGAAGCTAATTAATCAGTTTTCCACCTTCCATCTTTCAAAAGTGATCATCGAATCTCATATGAATTCCATTGCTCAACACAAAACTACATATATCGGTAGATGCGTTTATACACATTTTAAAAAAGCCTGAGACTATAGCAATTTAAGTAAAGTAGGAGTTACTATTAAAATATATGGTTTGGTGAATATTTTCTCTTTATCATTATTTTCTTCAAGCAATAAAATAAATCATCATACAAGGGAAACAACAGCCAATAATTAAAACAAACAAACATAATGACTACAAGAAAACTAATCGAATACGATTCACGTATTAATAGAATTTCCACACACAATTCAAATTTATGTTGGACAAAATACCCAATTGATTGAATAAATCTAAAATCTTTATTTTCGAAATAAGTTTTTCTTAATAATAACTAAAAATGTTCTTTGCATGCTTATATTTAGAAACATTTGTTTCTTTCACTAACTAAGATAGTTTAGTCTTTAAGTTGTTGAGAAACACCTGCAGGAACATGAGGTAATTTATCTAATTTACTAAAAATCCAATCAATAATCCATGCTGGTAAACGAGAAACTGGAAAGAAAAGAAAACTTGATTGCCAACCAGGTCGATAACGAATATGAGGAACTGTATTCATAACAGCATGCTGAAGAGCTTGAACGACTTTCGTAGGGTTTTCGGCATACTTGACGAACACATTCTTTGCCAAGTTATCATAATGTGCTTTGAGAAAATTTTCTCCCCATCGTTCTTGAGCATCCTTGGGAATCGTACTCAAAAAGTCTAAGTATGACTTAGAACCTCCTTGCAGAATTGGTGTACGCATTGCACCGGGTTCAATAATACTAACACGTAAACTCCATGGGACCATCTCACGACGTAAACAATCCGAAAATGATTCAAGAGCATATTTTGATGCACAATAAGCAGATCCACTTGATAAAGCGAGATAACCAGCTACAGAACAAATATTAACAATACGTGAATCACGTTTAGCAATAAGTAAGGGTAAAAATTTCTTTGTCATTGCAACATGTCCAAAGTAATTCACATCCATCACTTTACGCATATCTTCCATTGATGTCCAATCAATATGGCCAATAACAGCAATTCCAGCATTGTTAACAAGTGCATGAAGAACTTTTGTTTTCTCATTGACTAATTTAAACGCAGCATCAATATCTTCTTGTTTAGTAATATCAAGACGAAAGACAGTAGCTCTTGGCGAAAGTTTTTCTTTAAGAGATGTTACGTTGTCAGGAACGAAAACACCAGCAAGAACATGAAAACCTTGTTTATCAAGTTCAATCGTTAATCCATGACCGAATCCAGTATCACAACCACTAATAAGAACATATTTACCATTAGGATTGATGTTTGGTGTCGGAAAAAAATGCTGATATAAACGATACAAGATATAAACGATGATTATAAAACCGATAAGGAGGCACATCATGGTACTATAAAGATAAATGGAGAAAGAAAAAAACACAACTAGCGTTCTTTTTTCTAATGTAATGTTACTGCTGCAATAATAACAGCGTCGAGTCGAGCGTGCTGCGTGAAAGAATGCAAAGCACATTTGGTTCTATAAATGCTCGTAGTATTTCTGAATCATTTCTTTCATCGTACAATTTTCTCGATGGGTATGTAGGTCACAGAGAAAATAAAGTGTATCAATATCTATGTTGATCTTTGATCTTTCTTTACAAAGTTGAAAGAGATAACGAAAGAAGTAAAAATGGAAGAAAACAGTGAGCATAAAATTGAAGCACTTATGAGTGTCACATATCGATGAATACATCTTCTGTGTTTGATTTTAGTCAATAAAAAAATGAGTCAAATCTTTTTTTATAGAAAAATACAACGTTATACTAATGTTTTCTTAACAGTGACGTGCACTGAAACTGGTTTATATATTTGATGAGAGTATCTGGTTGTGCGATTGTTTTCGAAAAATAAAATTAAGAGTATCTGTGCCATTTTGTCTAGTGTCGATAAGCGTACCGACAGCTCTACAAAGTATATAAACAACAAAATTCGACTAGTAATCAAGTTAGTAACAAATGCAAAGGCCAACATTCATTTTAGCATATGCAAAGTAGCGATGAAACGCATATTAAACTGACCTTAACAAAAGTTGATTGCAAGTGCGCCCTAATTAATGAATATTTTACTTGACTACGAGCAAATGATCCACATCGAAGCGATGACCTACATGTACTTGTTCTATATTTTTCTTGATGCTCTAATTTTTTAGATAGGTATTCAAATGTAAATTGTTCATCTTGATGATACCACTAAGATAGATTTAAATGAATTGTTTGTTTTAATCTATCGAATTCTTCCGATCATCACAAGTCATTTCACTGAAAATGTGTCTGCTTGTAACAATCACTGAAATCAATGTTAAAAAATTCTCTTGTGTTCTCTTGACAAGTTGCAACTGTATACTTATTTTTCATAGAAGTGATTTCTTTATAATAATTAGCAAAAAAATAGATTGCAATAGTCATTGTCTAGCGCATATGATATTAAGTTTTTTGTATATCAGAATACTTCAAAATGCTCATAGTAATTGTTATGTTGACAAAGATTTATTCAAGTTGTGAAGCTTATGTACATTTATGAATATTTCCGCTTGATATATATACAAAAGCACCTATCTTTGCGCTAGTAGTCAAGTAAGGTAATTTTGACTATTTGTATTTGCTATAATCAAGTATCTACAATAATTATTTTCATATTTTGGATCATGTGTTAAATCATGCTATGTATTTTAGATATATAACTGACAAATAAGAAAAAAAGCAAAAATATTCTCACTTCTATAAAATCCGATGAGATTTTTAGTATACAACTAGAATTTTGTTTTTCAACATGAAGTCACGCTACGCTGACAGATGAAAAGTGAATGGGCATGTAAAGCTTAAGTATTAGTTTCTTGTTTTGTATCTCTCAAAAATCATTATCGAATCTTATATGAAAAGAAAAAAATCAACTGATACCATGGTTCAACTTTCTTTTTTCTCGACACAAAATTTCATATATCGGTATACATGTGCATATCATTTTAAATACAATAGGAGTTAGCATATAAACACATGCTTACGTTAAGATCTCTCTTTGTCATCGTTTTCTCCGAGACATACAAACTTAATCATTATACAAAGCATGAAAATAAATTTGACAATGAATCAAAATGAAAAGCAACAACGAAAAGTGAACACAACAAACAGGACGACTGCAACAAAAATTAATAGGAATTGATTCAATTATATCAATAGAACTTTTCATATAGAATGCACATGCATATTTGACATAAAACCTAATTGATCTAATGAATCTAAAATCTTTATTTATGAAATATCGCTTTCTAATAAATAACAAAAAAAGTTCTTTTCTTTTTTATATTTAGAAACATTTGTTTCTCTCACGAACTAAGATAGTTTAGTCTTTAAGCTGTTGAGAAACACCTGCAGGAGCATGAGGTGATTTATCTAATTTACTGAAAATCCAATCGACAATCCAAGTAGGTAAATGAGAAATTGGAAAGAAAACAAGACTTGATTGCCAACCAGGTCGATAACGAATACAAGGAACTGTATTCATAACAGCATGTTGAAGATTTCGCACCACTTTCATGGGATTTTCTGCATATTTGTAGAGTGGATTGTGTTTTATGGTATCAAATCCGGCTTTAAGAAAATCTTCTCCCCATCGTTCTTTAACATCACTTGACAGTTGACTCCACAAATCTTCAAATGTTTTAGGACCCGATTCGAGAATAGGTGTTCGCATAAATCCTGGTTCAATAATACTAACACGTAAACCCCATGGAACCATTTCACGACGTAAACAATCCGAAAATGATTCAAGTGCATATTTTGATGCACAATAAGCAGACCCACTTGATAATGTCAGGTAACCAGCTACGGAACAAATATTAACAATACGTGAATCAAGCTTTGCAATAAGTAAGGGTAAAAACTTCTTTGTCATTGCAACATGTCCAAAATAATTCACATCCATCACTTTACGCATATCTTCCATTGATGTCCAATCAATATGACCAGCAACAGCAATTCCAGCATTGTTAACAAGTGCATGAAGAACTTTTGTTTTCTCATTGACTAATTTAAATGCAGCATCAATATCTTCTTGTTTAGTAATATCAAGACGAAAAACTGTAGCTTTTGGTGAAAGTTTTTCTGTAAGAGAAGCTACGCTGTCAGGAACGAAAACACCAGCAAGAACATTAAAGCCTTGTTTATCAAGTTCAATCGCTAATCCATGACCGAATCCAGTATCACAACCACTAATAAGAACGTATTTACCATTAGGATTTATGTTTGGTGTCGGAAAAAAATGTTGATATAAACGATAGAAGACGTAAAGGATTATTATTAAACCAATACAGATCCACATGATAACACGGTAAATACAAATGGAGAGACGAAAGCACAACGGACGTTGTTCTCTAATACGATCTAGCCCATATATCAAGAATGGTAATGGCTACGAGTCGACTACACAGTGTTAAAGAACACCCACGTATGTGTGTGGTCGTAAACACTTGTATGCCTTTTTTTTTCTCCTTCCTTCGTATTTTTTTTTACTATCATATGCCCATATCAGTGTATACTGTTGCATATTTTCTCATAGTAGTGTTTCTAAATCTGTAAGGATACAAAATAGTAAAGCTTCAAATGTAAATATATATCTCGATTCGTGAAATTAATTAGAAAGTCAAATCAATATGAGAAAATGCAAATAAATAAAACGATATATATATTACGATGGTTAACACCAATGTAAAATTATCCTATTTCATAAAATGATGACAATGTTAAAATGAATCGCTGAAAAAAGTTCTTTTCATTTAATAAAAGAGTTTTTAGTTGAAGAGCTATTTTTGTAAGCGAGCAGGAAATGCTGTTGAATCATTTAATTTGACTATAATAATGTCATCAAGATGATTATGAACCATCGAAAGTGAATAAAACAAACTTTTTCTAGTGGTAAAGTTGACACCAAATATGATGATTATTATTCAAACACTATGAGATAGTGTTTTTGTCATTCTGTTTAAACTTTTGCTATATTTTGTGAACTATTTGATTGTTCCACATCAGTAGAAACATCTACCCATAAATCATGTTATTTATCATCATGTTAATCAAGCATATATGTTTCTACAAAATTTAATTTAGTGACACTAATACGTATATTTCATGAAACAAACTTCTGATGAAGACAACCAGGAAATGGTTCAAATATCAAAAATATATTAAGCATAGTAAAATTTCATTTAGCAATCAGTTTTATTCAGTATGTTTTTTTTTGATTTTCATTAAAAATATATTCCAAAAAACAATTCACGTCCATTATTCAACTCATAGATTCTACTATAAATCAACTTTATCCTCACGAACTCCGCCAACTATTGTGTGAGAACTATTTGTTTTCCCCATAATCATATCATCCGCTACATGAATATATTTTTGTTTAGTAATACCTACAGTCGTCGCAAGAACTTTCGCTATCGTATAAAAACACATAACATGGAATCCTTTTACTGATACTTAGTCTACAAATAGAGTTTGGTAAAGCTCTGATCTGAAGCAAGAACCTGAGGTCGATAGACTTTAGTGTAAAGGTCAAAGGATTTACAATGAAAATATTGGTTTTCTCCTGGGGTCCAACAAAGACTATTGTGACACCTTTTTGGTTTTCTATTCATAAAATTAGTTAATCTCCATTTTTTGATTAACAAATAACGATTCGTATGCCTATATTATGTCACAGCTGAGATAATCCAATAGGATTTCTTCTTTGTCAATGGCTACGATCATGAAATTTTCAAAGCAAATGGTTAACATTAGCTTAAGATATAGATCACTTTTCAACAATGTTACGACTACAATATAACACTTCGTGTTAAACGATGAATTTTCAAGAATAATACCTTTTGAATAATATGTTCATCAATGAAATCTATAAAATGTTGTTTATCAAATTCAACAGTTACTGCATAACCAAAACCTGAACCATAGTAATAATAAATAGGCATAAATTAATCGTATGTGTCGATGTAGATTGTCGGAAAAACTGTAAGTATAATCGAATAAAAAAATTGATGCCCAAATAACTATTCTAAATATTATTGTCTATTTGCATATACAAATCAGAAATGCTTAAAAGATATACACGGTTCCGTCTTGTTGTTTTTTGACTACTATATATATTGATACAACTGAAATTAGATAAAACCATGAATAAATCGAAATAAAACTTGGTTTCTCATTTAATATTCGATATTTATTCTCTTTTTTTTATATTTCATATATTATGTTTATACTGAAGATAAGAAACACAATTATTATCTATTTGAATTTTTCGGATACAAATTCATGTTATCAAATGACTAAAACATCGTGTCAATGACTAACGTTTCTGTTCTTATAGAAGTTCATGTCAACTCCTTGCCGTAATAGAAGACTTTTAGTCTATTCTAAAATTCATACATACAAACTTTTTAAGTAGTCTTCTTTTGTGTGTCATTTGTTTTTCAAAAAAGGGAAAACAATTTTAAGAGTTTAGAAAGATATTTTTTGGTCTTTAAAAGCTCTAAAAAATAATTTTGACTTGTGTCTATTAATATTGGTCACTTGAAAAGTAGTAGCATAATTAAGGATAGGCTAGGCCTAAAGCTGTCGTATCACCGAATCAAAGAAGAAAGTAATAATTATCATCAATGATACTATATTACATGGATTACTTCGAAGATTGTAGAATGCTGTCCTACTATTTACAATCTTTTGGTTACACTATTAACGTTAATAAAAGCAAATTTTCATTAAACTTTGATGAGTTTTAAGGGTTACTGGATACATATTCATAAGTTATCATTGATGACAAAAGTAAGGTATAGTTTTCAGCTCTTCTTAAAGTCCTTGTTTCGACATGAAAGATTATTACAGGAAATCTTTCATGTTTACTATGATCATCATGTTTTGGATAGATGTAATTTTTTTTTATTTTTCAAAGTTTAATCAACCTTATTATTATTTTTTCTTTTTTACTCGAACGAAAAAGATTTTTTTTGCCTTCCTGCATCGCGCGTTATTTTTCTACACGATAGTAGAAGTAGTAATCATATACGATGACACGTGCAAAAGAACAACCAGGTAAGAAAAGAAAAATGCGCATGTTATTTCATGCTACATTGTAATGCATATACATTCATTCGGATTTTTGCAGAAAAAAAAAAGATCAGCCATCATTTTCCATTGTGATATTTTCACAAACAAACAATAATGTTTCTACTTATTGGTCTTGGTATATTAGTATACATCATCTATCGTTTATATCAACACATTTTTACCATAATGAATATCAATCCACATAACAGATATGTCTTCATAAGTGGTTGTGATACAGGTATTGGTCATGCATTAGCAATTGAACTCGATAAACAAGGTTTTAATGTATTCGCCGGTGTATATATACCTGATAATATAACTTCATTGAAAGCTATACTCTCACTAAAAGCTACAATCTTTCATTTAGATATTACAAAAGAAGAAGATATCAATGCTGCATTTGAATTAGTACAGAAAAAAACTAATACCCTTCATGCACTTATAAATAATGCTGGTATTATAACACATGGCTACATAGATTGGACTTCATTAGAACTAATGCGTAAAATAATGAATGTAAATTTTTTTGGACATGTTGCAATGACAAAAAAATTTCTACCATTGCTTATAACAAAACGTCAGTCTCGTGTAGTGAATATTTGTTCAGCTACTGGTTTCTTTGCTATTCCAAATACATGTGCTTATTCAGCATCGAAATATGCTTTGGAATCATTTTCGGATTGTCTTCGTCGAGAAATGGCTCCATGGGATTTACATATCAGTATCATTGAACCTGGTGCTCTACGAACGCCTATGAATGAAGGTTATGCAAATATTTTGGAAAATCTATGGAATGAACTTTCAATTGATATTCAAGAACGATGGGGAATCGATTTTTTAAATAATTTAATCTCTCAAGGAATCGATAGTCCAGTTATGAAACATCCTGATAATCCAAAGTATGTAGTACGAGCTGTTCAGCATGCTGTTATGAATATAAATCCTTGTATTCGTTATCGACCAGGTTGGCAAGCCAAACTGTTTTTTATTACATTATATTTGCCGCCTACTTGGTTAATTGATAAACTTCTAGCTAAAATCTATTGTTTTATTCCTGCTGGCGTGCGAAATCAACATCTGAACTAAAATATATTGTAGTGTGTTCGACTATGAAAAAGAGAATTTATACAAAACAATTTTATTAAAATTATCAATAGATATATTCTAATGCGAAAGTAATGAATATTGACCTTATGTCATCAATTTTCAATGAAAACTGATGATTCGAACGAGCTGTGTCTCAAGTAACCAAGTATTCTTCAGAATCAATGAGTTTTGAGTTAGACAATATTAAAATAAAAAAGTCAACATTATGCTTGAGCTTTTAAAGTCCAAAAAATATCTTCCCAAATTCTTAAAATCGTTTTCGTTTTTTGAAAAACAAATGACACACAAGAGAAGACCAGGCATCTTCTACTACAAAAAGAAATTGACATGAGTTTCTATAAGAACAAAAGTGCAATTCATTGATATGATGTTTTAGTCATTTGATAACATAAAAATGTATTCAAAAAATACAAATAGATAATAATTGTGTTTCTTATCTCCAGCACAAACATGATATATGAAATATGAAAATAGAATAAATATAAAATATAAAATGAGAAATCATATTTTAATTCGATTTATTTGTTATTTTATCTGCTTTGATTTGTATCGATGGATAAAGCAGTGAAAACAACAATAATACCGATACATTCTATATCCTCTGATTTAGAATAGTTATTTTAAATAATTTATCAATTATGCCTACATTTTTTCCAAAAATCTACATCGATGCAAACGATGAATATGTGTTTATTTGTCATTATGATTCAGATTTTGGTTATGTAGTAACTATTGAATTAGATAAGCAAGGTTTTTAAAATAAGTTTCACTAGTAAACATATTATTCTTCAAAAAATCCTACTACGAGATTAAAAAGTACTTAGGGCGTACCAAAAGTTCGTGTCCCGTCATTTAAAGGATCTTGTCGGATGGAGTGAACTAGTTTAGAAATAAGAAACAAATATATCATGTTGTAGAGCATTTCGAGCCGCATCGAATGGTATATAGTAAATTCTGTTTTCTTAGAACTTTGAACGACCTAGAGTCAATTTATTGATGGACGACTACACATTCACACCCATTTATACTTACGTTCGCATTCACAAGATGATCGGAGATAGTGCGTATATGAAGTTGTAGCCCATCAAAAACTCTACAAAGTAGCATGCGAGAAACAATATTTTACATATGCTTTCAATTAATATCAAGAACCATAATAAACATTAACTTATGGTCCTCAGGTACGGGTGTAAATAATGATGGATGTGAATGTGTAGTCATCTATCAGTAAACTGACTCTAGGTCCTTCAAAGTTCTATGAAAACAGGGTTTACTATATACCATTCGATGCGGCTCGAAAAGGTCTATACTATGATATATTTGTTTCTTGTTTCTGAACCGATGTACCCCATCCGACAAGGCCCTTTAGATGGCGGGACACGAACTTTTGGTACGCCCTAAGTATATGAACATGAAGCCTGTAATCTCGTAGTTCGAGCACAAGCTGAGCATACTGAATTGGTTGCATGAATTAATTAGAACTTAATCGACTTTCACTCAGGGAAGATCAATAGAGATTTTTTTCTACAGACGACGATATTTTAACGTAGAAAATGAATTTCATGACGTCAGGACCCTGATTTGGCATCTCATTGCTATCTCTATCACTAATAAAAATTCCATGTCAAATGGTTTTAGTTTGTCTGATTTATGAAGTTATCATTAGATAATCTCTACATGATAATTGATGGAAGAAATTCATATATCCAGCGAATTGTAACCATTAGTCTTTAATTTTTCTTCAATGAATAAATATCCTGTTGTAATCAGATTTTCTTTGAAATTTCAAAAATGACTGATGAACTGAAAACTCTTGTACTAAATGAAAAGAACATTGTTTTAGTAATTCATTTGACAATGATCGTTTTAAAACGTGACTTCTTAATTAATCTCACAATGCAAAAAATATTTGTAACAGATAAGTTCGTAATCTAGTTAAAATTGAAAAAAGTATTTTTATAATTTTCTAGTAAAAAATTTCGTTAGCGTATAAAAATAAAAACATCATTTATACAGCAAGTATTTTTCTTTGTATTTTTGTAATGACTATAAGTTTTCGTTATACTTTTTGTGTGTCGGAGTAATGAAGACATTGAATAATTCGTAGATTTTAAGCAATCAGTAAATAAACCTTTTTTCAAGCTATTAATCAAAAAAAGATTTCTATTCAGGATTCTTAGATAAATAATTAAATATTCAAAATTCAAGTTCCATATTAATATTTTATACTTTTTATAATAATAGAATAGAATATACAATGAGCAGGCTGAGGCGTAGAAGATTTTTAAGAGTGAAAGTGACTTACACCACGTGTATGTCTTATCATTACAATATCACAGCATAAAAAATGATTATAAGTACTAATGAAATTAAAAGTTATTTTTTTTCTCTAAATAGTGCATTGAACAGTATATGGCTTACAATAATTCTTATATAAAAATTTAGTATTTATATGCATTCAGAATACTAAAATTCACACAACTAAAATCGTTGGTTGTTTTATTGTTATGTTTAATATGATTCGGTTTTAAAAACTCTTATCCAAATGAATTATTTCACATTGTTTATAAAACTTAATTACTATAATAAAATATTTTTTTTTCTAAGAAAATTTATTTTTAATCATTTCATCCAATTCAAACTGAATTAAATTCTTATGCCAACTGTGACGCATCCTTACTTTTCAACCTTTACGGTTTTATATCCTTAGAAATGTAAAAAAAAACAAATACTTCAGGGAAGGTGAAAATGTTTTTTTTTCTAGGTGGTAACGCTGTAATTTCAAACAATATCAACAATAAACTTTATACCAAATTAAAGTGCGTCGAATATACGATTTATCAATGGTAAATAATGAGGATTATGACAAATTTTCAGTTTCAAATTCAGAATATTTCTAAAATTATATGCCATATCATCAGAGAAAAGTTTCTTTGATGAAACAGTTCAACTTAGATCTTATGTAAAATGATGAATATAATAATGTTCGAACAATAGGCAAAAATGAAGCTGAAGAAAACTGTGATCAAAGACGAAACACAAACTTTATGATAGAGAACCTCTAAAAAATATATATTTAATGCTTTGGCAAATGCGAAAAAAAAACATTGACTTATTTCAAATTATTTTATGTTTATATCCATCTGCTCTTCCTGCTGTAAAAACACTAAAAGTCGTCAAAAATCATTATTGATTTTTTTTTTATCATAACTTTCATTTTAAATGAGATTTAATAAAAACTATCTTATGAAAGGAATTTTTCTCACCTGATTTAGCGTAAAACTTTAAAAAATTCCTGAAGTCGTCACTCAAAATTTATCATAATCCTTACTATTTAGGATTTATGAATCCCATTTTCAAGACACTGTAACTTGGTATAAAATTTTCTGTTGATATTATTTGAAATCCCATCATTATTCTGTTGAAAAAAAAAACATTTTTGTCCATCCTGTACAGTAAAATACACAAAATTATGCCCTAATATGCGCATGTATGATATTGAAACATACAAGAAAAAGAAAAACAGAATCATACAAGCATAAATGATGATATATGGCTTTAGATGTTCTTTAACATTCTGCAGTCGATTCGTTGCTGTTGTTGCCTTTGATACACACATTTGATTATAAAAGAAAACGACGTTAATTGTGTTTTTTTTCTCTTTACAGTGTCATGATATACATTCTTATTGATTTCATTATCACCCTTTATATTCTCTATAGTTTATGTCAACATCAAACATCAATCCTAATAGTAAATATGTTATTAGTGGTTGTCATACTGGATTCTATCATCAATTATATATTGATAAACACGGTTTTAATGTTCTTGCTGGTATTTATTATATTCCTGATAATGTAGCATCTCTTAAAGAAAAACTTTTACCAAAAGCTACAGTCTTTCGTCTTAGTATTACTAAATTTTAACAATGCTGAATCTAAACTGCAGTATTTTAATTTGTTGCTAAAACATTCACACACGCATGAGCCGATATATTAAATTTTGTATAGAAAAAAAGAAATAATGTTGTGTTACAGTATTAATTGACTTTTTCTCTTCGTGTGAGATTTGATCATAAGTTTTGAGAAATAGAAAGCAGGAAATTGACTTATTTCCGTGATAGAATGAAAGAACGATTGGTGTAAGCTAAATTACTCGGCAATATCAACAGTTAGCAATCTGCAGAGAGACTTCAGAGTTATATTTCAAAGTACAATTCAGATGATCATCTTTCTCATATCTCAATATTGAACAAACAAAATTGTGTATCTATTCGGCCAAATTCTAATAGAATTTGTTGATTTTTTGAAAATTTTCTGACTTTTACCCTCCTTAATTCTGTCGCGGATATTAATATACTTTATTTACTCGTTGAATTTCTTATATCAGTGTGATGTAATTGCATATTGACAAAGAAACATCTACTTCAAAACCAAATGTCTTATAAAATTTCAGCGAATTAAAAATATTTTTGCTTTGTTTCTTGCTGATCAGTTATATCTGAAATACATGACATGATTTCACAAATGATCGAAATTGTGAAGATAATCACTATAGATACTTGATTATAGCAAAAAACAACAATGAAATTGATTTAAATGGTTACTCGAGCAAAGATAGCTGCTTTCGTTTATACATCAAGCACAAATATTCATTGATATATTGAAGTTTTACAACTTGAATATATCTTTGTAAAAATAAAAGCGAACCGTCATGGGTATTCTGATATACAAAACAGATGGTATCGAGTTGCACTTTCTTAGTAGAACACAAATGTTAGATTTTCAGAGTACGTAGATCTTGATGAGTACAGCAATAATTGCCATAAACTAAAAATTCTCGAATACTGTCTTTTATAGAATAGTGGAATCACAATAATCAACAATGGCTTCAATGTTCGCTTCTATTTCTCCAAGCCGCCACGTTGGATCGAGATGAAAATTTTTCTACAGACATTAGAGACCGTTTGAGGTGAATATATTTTTTAAATTTTTTGTCTTTCAAATAAAATAGAATCGAAATATTGAAGGTACCCTACAAACTATATGTTTTATTTTTGTAATAGCTACCAAAAATCAGCAAAAAAATATTTTGTGAAATTAAAAAAAAAATATCCATCTCAAACAATGTCTAGTATATGTAAAAAAAAAAACATTTTTAGCTCAATCGGACGTACTACGCCAAAGAAACGGTGACGTTTCTGCACTTTTCTTCATGAAAAATTTGTTTCCAGAAAAAGGCAAAAAAAATATAGAGTTTTTGCTATTTCCGTTATACAAATTTGATTTTTTCTCGTCGTTTGTTAACGTTTAAAGACATTTTTTAAGTGCCATAATATACTCAGTAGATGAATACTATTTGAAACTATACAATGACTATAAAAAACTAAAGCTGAAAAAAACAACAATTTTTGAGTGAGAAAATGGGGGTTACACTTAAAGCAGCCAATTCGTTTAAATCTCTTATAGTGGTATAATGAAGATGTCACGTATTCAGGGTATACGTAAAAGCCAGAAAATGTATTGTATTATCAATTGCGTAATACAATAAAGGTCAAGGTCAATAATGATGTTTTATTGACCTTGAAGAACAGAAACAACTCACAAGTTAGATGAAAACGAAACGAACAAAGTTATCATCTTTTTAAGAAAAGACAAGCATATATATAGAGAGATCTATATGTTGTGATGACTCATACAAATGGAATGAAAAATAGAAAAAGAAATATAACAATAGAAATATTGTTATATACGCAATTAGAATGATCACAACATAAAGGAAAAGAATACACATAAATATATGTATAGAATTACACATATATGTAAATCATGACTCATCAGTAGACAAACACCAACAGATAAGAAATGAAGTCAATGTAACAATAATAACAATTATTGTCAATACACTACAGAAGATGAATGAGTTACATTTAGATGAATATCTCAAAAAAACCAGAGCATCAAGAAAGATGTTGAACAAGTGTATACAAGTCATCGTTTCAGCATGAAACATTTGCTCGTAGTCAACTAAAAGATTCGTTAATTAGAACATATTTGCAATAAAGTGATGTTTAGGTGTGCTTCAAATGCGTTTCGTTGCTACTGTGTACGTGGTCTAATAAATATTCTTCTTTGCATTCATTATTAACTTAATTGACAGTCAAATCTTCCTTTTTATGCACTTTCTAGAGTTTGCTGTATCTTGATCGACATGATCTTAGTTCAATCAAACGACACAGGCATTCTTCACTTTAGGTTTTCAAAACAATGAAGTATAGTTATAAAATCTGATCATAAATTGACTAATGACATAGTTTCTTTAAAATCCCAAGATGAATTGAAGATATAGAACTTCGACTCGGGTTTGACTCAAAATTTCTCATACACTCTACACATAAACAGATAGTTACTAAGCAAATAAAAGCTTCGCATTTGATCTTTCTGCAGAAGAAGAAGGTTTTTTTAATTTATTAACTAAAACTCAACTGAAACTTGTTGAAATGTTTTAGAAATCTGCCTTCTCGTTCAGAATGATAAAATGTGAAACTTTTAATTGCTTAATATCGATCTGTCTCTGTGTAGGATGTATGATGAACTTCGAGTCAAATCCGAGCAGATCATTTTTACTATTGTTGGTCTAGCACAACAAATATACAATTTAGAGAGATGAAACTTTTAACACATAAACTATGATAGACGGGCTATATTTTGACAAAGATGGAAATTCTATATCGTCAATTGGTCTTCAGATTTTCAAGAAACAACCTTATTGGTCAAGCGTACGATCAGTTTTAAGCGCCACTGTATGTCAACTAGTTTGAGTTCACGTCACTGTTAATAGAGTATTAGTATGATGTTGTATTTTCCATAAAAAAAAGAGCTGACTCCTTTTATTTTTCATCGAATAAAATCAAGTAAATAAGATGTATTCATCTAATTTGGCACTTTTATGATTTGTTCAATTTTATTCTCATCATTTTCTTTCCTTTTAACTTCTTTCTTTATCTTTATCGACTTCGTGAAGAAAGATGAAAGATCAAAACAGATATTGATGCATTACATCTTCTCTGCGATCCACATATATATCAGAAAAAAAATACGAAGAAGAAAGGATAGAGAAACACTACGGGTATTTATAGAACAAAACGTACTTTGCGTTCTTCGACGCAGTTCTCTCGATTTGACGTCGTTATTATTGTAGCAGTAACACTCAATTAGTAATAAGACACAAAGAACGTTGGTTGTGTTTTATTTGTCTCTCTCGATTTATCTGTATAGTACTATGATGTATCTTCTTATTGGCTTTCTAGTCATCCTTTATATCTTCTATCGTTTATATCAGCATTTTTTTCCGACACCAAACATAAATCCTAATGGAAAATATGTTCTTATTAGTGGTTGTGATACTGGATTCGGTCATGGATTAGCGATTGAACTTGATAAACAAGGCTTTAATGTTCTTGCTGGTGTTTTCGTTCCTGACAACGTAACATCTCTTAAAGAAAAACTTTCAAAAAAAGGTACAGTTTTTCGTCTTGATATTACTAAACAAGAAGACATTGATGCTGCATTCGAATTAGTCAACGAGAAAACAAAAGTTCTTCATGCACTTGTTAACAATGCTGGAATTGCTGTTATTGGCCATATTGATTGGACATCGATGGAAGATATGCGTAAAGTGATGGATGTGAATTACTTTGGACATGTTGCAATGACAAAGAAATTTTTACCCTTACTTATTGCTAAACGTGATTCACGTGTTGTTAATATTTGTTCTGTAGCTGGTTATCTCGCTTTATCAAGTGGATCTGCTTATTGTGCATCAAAATATGCTCTTGAATCATTTTCGGATTGTTTACGTCGTGAAATGGTCCCATGGGGTTTACGTGTTAGTATTATTGAACCAGGATTTATGCGAACACCTATCATGCAAGGAGGTCCTAAAACATTTGTAGACTTTTGGAGTCAATTTTCAAGTGATGTTCAAGAACGATGGGGAGAAGATTTTATTAAAGGTAGACTTAACAGCAGAGCAATAGACCCATTTAGGAGACATGCTGAAGATCCTATAAAAGTCGTTCGAGCTCTTCAACATGCTGTTATGAATACAGTTCCTCATATTCGTTATCGACCTGGTTGGCAATCAAGTCTTGTCTTCTTTCCAATTTCTCGATTACCTGCTTGGATTGTCGACTGGCTTTTAAGTAACCTAGCGAAGTCACCTCGTGTTCCCACAGGTGTTTCTCAACAGTTTAAAGACTAAATTATCTTAGCTAGTGAAATAAACAAATATTTCTAAATAAAACAAGCAAAGACTATTTTTAGTTATTCATTGGAAAAACATTATTTCGAAAATAAAGATTTTAGATTTATTCGACGCATTAGGTGTTATGTCAAGCATACATACGAATTGCGTACGAAACATTTTATTAAAAGTTCATTGTCAGATTTTCTTATTCTCTTCTATAACAATTAACTCTATGTCTGCGAGAAACATGTTAACAAGGAGAAAGTGTTTATCTAAGCATGTATTCATATGGTAATTCCTATTGTATTTAAAATATAATACTTTGATGTGTTTTTAAAACATATATGAATGCGTATATCAATTTATCAAATTTTCTATTAAGAAAAAGAAAGTTGTGTAACAGTGTTTGTTTGATTGCTTTCCGCATCATATGAGATTCGATCATTAGTTTTGAGAAATACTACACAAAAAACTGCCTAAGAAGCTTTACATGCTTGTTAAATTTCTTCTATCAGTGTGATGTGACTTCACATCAAACAAAAAACGTCTACAACTATAGGAAATATCTTATAGAGCGTTATAAGAATGAGAGTAATTTCGTTTTGTTTTTTATTGATCAATTATATCTAAAAAATACATGACACGATTTCACAAATGATCTAAATTGTGAAGGTAATCACTGTAGGTACTTAATTATAGCAAAAAAGAACAATGAAATTAATTTAGATGGTTACTCAAGTAAAGATAGCTGCTTTCGTTTATATATCAAGCACAAATATTCATTAATGTATATAAACTTCATAATTTGAATACATCTTTGTCAAAATAAAAGCCATCATGAATATTCTAAAGTGTTTTCATGTACAAAACATTTGATATCATGTTGCCTACACAATAACTATTGACCATGAATCTTTTACTATTTACAGTTGCATTTTCTCAATAGAACACAAGAGAATATTTTAAGATTATTTTCAGTGAAATGACTTCCGATGCTTAGAAGAATTTGATAGCTTAAACCGATCATTCGTCTAAATTTATCCTAACAGTATAATAAAGATAAACGAGTTACATTTAGAGACATATTTCAGACTTCAGAGCATCAAGGGGTATATAAAAAACAAGTGCGTGCAGATCATCTTTTTCAGTGTAAAATATTTGTTCGTAGTTAACTAAATAATTCATTAATTAGAAAGCACCTAAGATATATTTAAATTTACAATTCATTATAATCCAGTCCTTTACGTTTGTAATCAAGTCCTGTTTAGGTGTGTTTAAACTGTGTTTCGTTGTTAATGTGTATATGCTATGATGAATAGCTCTGTTTGCATTCGTTATTAACTTGATTGACATTCAAATCTTGCATTTTATGCACATTCTAAACTATTCTGTTCGCTAATGAATACCATTGTAACTCAATAAAATGGCATAGGTATTCTTCGTTTTATTGCTCGACAGCACTGGAGTGTTTATAAAATCTCATCGAATTTATCAACCAGTTTGAGTACACGTCACAAGGGGGTAAGTGCTGGCACCCAGCACCGAAAAACACCGAAAAGTGCTGGACAGGTGCTGGGCGGGTGCTGAAGTGCTGAGAGGCTAATTGATTTTTTTAGGATACTACATAAACTAAACCACTACATTGTGATTGATTAAGAGCGTTCTCTATCAGATTCATTATTGTACTTCAATACTAGCG